TAGGTTCCATTAGTACTTGGTACTTTGTCATTTCCCATAATCCTTTGTCATGTGGGATCTTTTCCTTCAGGAAGAGATCCTAGAAATGGGATTGCTGTATCTTCTGATACATGTAAACACATGTAATATGGTTATTACCAAACAAATAACCTGTGCAGAAACCTTTTCCTGTTGCCACCCAAATTACCCTCTATAGAGGATGCACAATTTTTGCACTCCTACTAGCAGTGTATGAAAGTACCTGTTTCTCCACAGCCTTGCCAACAAAGTTGTCAAGCTTTTGAGTTTTTGCCAATCTGAGGTGAGTAATGGTATCTTAATGTAGAGATAAAGTCTAAGGAGAGAAAACTGTGTGTACAAAGAACCACTTGGATTTTGAATAAAACACATGTGTTTCTCTCTTCCATCTCAACCCACTAAAATGAGACTAAAGAAATAAACAGAAGAACTTGAAAGTGCTGTTTTCACTCTGACACTGTGCAGATTTTCATTTATTTAAGGGTTAGTTGCTTTTCTTTCTTTTTGGTAAGATATCTATCCAAAACTTTGGCCCATTTTTCTAACAGGTGTTTGGTTTTTCTCAAATTTTGAGTTCTTTGTATATTAAGGATATTGTCCTCTTGTGATATATATTGTTAATAGTTTCATTTTAAAAAAATTTTTTCCTGCTGTGTCTCAATCTTGCAAATTTTTTTTTCTTTTATTCCATTATGTTTATGAGAGAAGCCCTGAAAAGCTCTTTGGAAGACCAGGGCTTACCAACAGATGAGGATCTTGGTGTCTCATTCTGTGGAACTTCTGATTTGAGAGAGGAATCTACCAGTTTTCTTGGTAGAGATGGAAGGAGGGGCATTTTTCAGTACTAGATCTTTATTTGTTTCCTGGTTTTCTTCTCTTCCCCTTGCTGTGCCTGGTGTCCTCAAGTTAGTCTGTTTTGTTTCTTTTTTCCTATAGTAAACTTTCATTCTCCTGATTTTATTGAGGAACTGTAGTTGCTTGGCTATATGTCATGGATTGGAGACTTGAGGATCTTTTTTATTTAGTCTCTCAGTAGTCTAGATTTTAACCTTATGCCTCACCATTGTCTTGGGAAGTTTCTGGAGGTATAGATTACTGAGTCCTTTGAGAATTGTGTAGAGAGCATTGGCTTACTTCTGCAAATACTTAGGATGTCTGTTTTCTCAGTACTGTTAATTCCTTCATCTGTTTGTCTCATCTACTGCTATCTCCTTTCAAGTTCTTCTTTATCTAATTTTTATTTTATTTTATTTATTCTCATTTTAGTAGCCTTCAGATATAAAGAGAAAGAAACACATTAATTTATTATATTTAACTAGAAATGCAGTGGTTCTTTGTACATACAGCTTTCTCTCCTTAGGCTCTACTTTTTGGGCAGTTGGATGACTCACAGTGGTTCACAATATTGTACTTTTATTTGATAATTTAGAGTTTATGTGCCAGCACTCAGATGATTTTGATCAGTAGTTAAAAAAAATTGGTTGCCTCTTTTATATTGTGTTAACTTCAAGGGAAGAAAGTTTTTACAATTCTAAGCAAAAGATTGTTATTGGTCCTGGAAATATGAATGCTTCTGGGGGGTCTGTCTTCTCCCCCATTTGATCTACTTTTTGTGCTATTGGTATAGTCTTTGTACAGGGATTGTAGCTGTTTTGTAGTTTAATTCTAGATGAATCCCTTTTGCTTTTTCTTCTTTTTCATTTTGGTGGTTTTCAAGAAGTGGGAAGTAAACATACCTTTATTCCTTTCTTTTAAAGTGCATTTAATACAATGTGAAAAACTGCTCAATATGATGTATTTCATTTGGGAAGTTGAATACCTGGATTAAGTACTCATGCCAAAACCTTTTTCCTAGTCATAAAACATTCTGCAAGAGGTATGGCTCTAGTCTGACTTTCTTGGTTGCAGTGAGCTTCATGTCAAGACGAAGGAGGGTGCCTGTAAGGTACTAGAAGTAGAGAGCTACCAGAATCTGAGGCAGCTTTAGGGACTCTTTCCACTACGCTTCTTATTAAGCTATTGTCTCTCATGGCACTTTGCTCCTCCCTGCACATCTGCTCTAACATCTCCATGTTAACAATTTTCTTGTGCTTGCACAAGAAATAGAAATAGTCTCTATCCTCTTATAAGTTCGGCCAACACATGACCCCAGAATAGACACCCCAGTTTCTCTGTTTACTTACACATGACCTTTCTGCTTCAGCCCTCTGCAGCTAGTTAGTGTACTCTGTCGCTATTTCTGAGTCATATTTCAAAAAAAAATGAATTGGCCCAGACCATCTTTTTGTACCACTTCTAATTTGTTGTTCCTAGTCAAGCTATAAATGGGCTGTCTCAGATCAGTTCAGCACTGCTCAAGCAGGTGGGGAGTGTCAGGGAAGGGAGCAGTAGGTCAGCAGGGAAACAGCAAGGAACCATGGATGGACAGTTCCCCTTGGTACATGAAGGAGCAGGATAGAGCTGTGTACGTAACATACTCTTTCCTTCAATCTGCCAGTTTATTTTTGAAAGAGTACTTTAGGCAAATACTTAGTAGTGAGTGAAAATTGAATATTATAGGAAACTAGCTAATGTTTGAGTCAAAACTGAGTAAGAAATCTGCCGTTTGGTGCTATTTTCTATTTGTGCGCTGTGACTTTAGTAGCGTGGTATGGCAGAAAGACCACTATACTAGAAATTAGGAGTCTTAGAGATTCTAGACCTGATTTTGCTGTTCTGTGAAAGGCTTCACTTTCTTTATCAGATAAATTTTTAAAAGGTCACTGGAGTAGAACAGTTTCTAAGGTACTGTTTAGCTATAAAAACCTGTCACTCAAATTATACTATACCAAGCTGAGAAAGGTACTTTCCACAAGAACAATCAGAATACAAAGCTATTATAACAAAATCATAATTTCACTTTAAAAAATGAGAAATGAAAATAATTGAACTCATACATTAGAAAAAGATACAAGAGTTTTATAGTGAACCAAATTCTCGTTAGAACTTCTGTAAATGTGAAATGGGATGGTCTTCATAAACTGGTTAAAATCAGATACTATAGTCACAAACTCTTTTCCCAACTTAAGTTGCACGTAAGTAGTGTGTTGATGTATAATATTGAAGTTTGAAATGCTTTTTGTTTTCCATGCTTTTTTAGAAACATAGTTGAATATTCTAAAGAGTTAAGTAACATGAGTTTCTTTTACTTTTTAGGATTTAAGTGCCCTGTATGCTCAAAATTTGTACCCTCAGATGAAATGGATTTGCATCTTGTGATGTGTTTAACAAAGCCAAGGATAACCTATAATGGTAAGTTGAGTGCTTTAAAATAATGTTTTAATAGAATTACCTTACATTTTATGGATTTCATGTTTTGGGTAAAATTTAAAAGGCAAGGAAGGACCATATATGCTCTGGAGCTAACTAGTATCCTCGTTAGATCTGGTGCTTTGGCTGTGGCCCTTCTGACCACAATCTCTAGATATTCAAAGCCCTAGAAGAGATATTCATTGTAGTCTCAGAACATTTTGAAATAGATTTGGGGAAAAAAACAAATAGTTCATTACTGACTTTAGATGAGTAGAATGAAATAAAGGAAAAATGAGAGCTTTTTTCAAAAATTTATAAATAGACAAAATTCAAAAGACCTAGAGGAATTTCAGGTTTTTCAAATGTAAGATTTGTTTTGAAATAGAGTGAGTAGAAAGAGTACCAGTAAACAGCCAAGCCAGTGGAAAGATTGGCTTTGTGATCAACAGATAAATGTCTGAGTACCTGTCAGATAGGAGGTATATAGTGTTAGAAATTTGGGATAGCAATGAATAAAACAAATGGATTCTACAGCCTAGGATCAATCAAAGGTTTATCGATGTAGTAACACTTAGTTAACATTCTGAGATTTCTCCTCAGAATATAGAAATCTCGTGGGGGTAAAATTTAACACTGAAATGAACATGTTACTTTGAGTAGCTTTTTTGTGAGTTGATTTAGGAATCTCTCCCATCAAGTAGTGCTTCAGCCACACTATTTTAGAAGTGACAGTTGAGCATTTTTCCCATTCATTTTCCAGTGAATAAAAGCTTTTAGCAATTCCTTTGAATAATGAATGTACCTGTTGATTATGTACAAACCTTTCTGCATTAGAAAATTGAACTGGCTACTTTCCATAATCTAGTTGAAATTTAGTCAGTAAAGAAATAAAAAACATTCTTATTCAGGTTAAGAATTTGAGATAAAATTGCTTGAGCTTGTTTTTCATACTTACTCTGTTATCTTGTCATTAAATCCTTCATGATTATTGTGTTTATTACAAGTGTCTTTAAAATAAATATCCTTCAGTCTGAAGACTCTGGCCTTGAATTTTTAAAAGCACAAGTGTATTTCCTTTGACCATATAATATAGTTGCACATGATCTTAATATTGTATATATTTACTTTGTGTAATATATGTGGATATAATCTTTTTATGTGTTGATATTTGACAGTTTTTAATTTCCTGATTTGACTGTGTTCAGATCATTAAAGTTTTCTCCTAGGTCACTTATTTGGTAGCTTAAAGAACAATATGCAACCTTCTGCTTGGGGAAACTGAATCAAGAATTCAGGTTTTAAATATTTGACAGTATTCCAGTTTAGAAATTAGTAAACTTAATGCAAAAAGTAAATAAAATTGCAGCCACTTTTAAGAATGGCTACCTACTTTAAGGTAGGTAGACTTGAAAGTTTTTAATGTGTAAAATATATATTAACTGTCTATAAACATTCACAACAAGAAACAAAAACAGCTTCTTTATAAACATATGTGATTCTTTAAGTTTTAAAGCGTGGACAGTGGCCAACTATGGGCTAAAGGAGGAAGAGCTTTGATTGGCTTATTTAGGTTAGACATGGTAGATTGGTATTATGTTTCCCCTTAACAAGCTATGGGAATTCTAATATTAGGAGCGCAGAGCCCCATAGGGGATGAAAAAATAATCTTTCTACCCTTCTGAGTTCTTGGCTGAAACTATGGTGATCAAAGACAGATTAACAAGAGGAAAACAAAAGTTTGTGAACATATATACCTCCTGTATACGTGGAAGGTACCCAGGGGAAAATGAGCAAATCTCCAAGGTGGTTTAGAATGCCATCTTTAGCTAAAGACAAAGAAGAAAGTGAGAGTCGGGGTTGGGGTGAGGAGGCCAGTTGTGGGAAGTTACCAGGAAAATAATGATAAACAAGGGGTTACAGATATGTTAGTGTCTTCTCCATTGATAAGATTCTCTTGTAGTAATCTTTTGTGATTTAGAACCCTCCTTCTCTTCTATATTGAGGAGATACCCTTGCAAATGAAGAGTTCCTATATAAATGTAAGTTTCCCTTACAGAAGGGTAACTTCTACTTTGTTTTCAGAGTTTCTTTTGTGTCTGCTGTTTCTCAACCATTTAAAAATAATCCTTATGCCAAAGAAGCATATTTTAGGGTAGCATATCCTGCTACCCTTCAGTCCATCAGATCTGATTCTATCACAGGTGATGAGGTTAGGTGGCCTCTTTAACACCTAAGCAATAATCTAGGATTATTAACAAAATTCAGAACAAGGTGAGTCAGAATCTCTGAAATGGAATCTTTTTAGTCAGCTGGACTCTATAACTTTGTATTTGAATTCCTAAAAGTTGATTACTTAGAGACGCATGAGAGAGACTGGGCCTCTAAATTGTGTGACTACTCAAACAAGGGAATTTTATTTAGCATAGTGCTTATTAACTCAAACATTTTGTAATCTTCCCTACAGTAGCTAGATTTATCATTTTAAACTTTGTTAAATGTATATATATATTTAATTGTTTGTAGACACTCACAGCAGAGAGAATAGTTGGGCTTGTTTTTCAGGCTGGATGTATTTATAGAAATTTTGAATATAAGTTAGTGATTTGAAGCTTCATACGCACAGAGATGTCATTCAAAATGTTGGTTTGGTTTACTAGACTAGCCCACAGCAACTTTCTTATTATTTCTTAATTTGTAATATATCCAAATACCCACAGATTGGTAACTGAAGAAGAAAATTGGCCAGGTGGAAGCTCTCAGGGTTTATAGTCAGTTGGCTCAGCAGAGGTTCAGATAGGAGGCCCAAGGCCATTATGGCAGGGGATAATTCAGAGTGATGTGACTGGTTATCTATTGCAAGTGGTATTTTGGCAGGATGGAAGAAAATTCAGAATGCCACAGTGAATACTCATTTATCTATCTTTATGTATGTATAGATTTCCCTTAAATCAGGGACTGCCTACTTCATATACTTTTCCCCTCTTCATGGGCTTCACTGTTAAGTTTATGGACCTAGTAATACATTGTATAGTCTTTGAACCTAATATAAATTTTATGAGCATAGAGTTTTTATTTCCTTGCTCCTTATCTTCTAAAATATTTCAGAACAAACAAAAAATGAAATAAATATTAGCAAATTTTTATTCTTGATTTTCTTGGTCTTTTAAACTTCACCAGATCGTAGCATGTTTTGCATCATATAAAGTTCAGTTTTTATTTTGGACTTCTGTGATTGACACCTGTATTTAAGAAATCTTTGTTTTATTTGTAGTTAATACTGTGTGTGTGCATGTGCACTGGAAGGAGGTGTAACTTGAAATAAGTTTGTTTTCTGAGATTTAATTATAAACTTATATAGTGAATCAAAACAACTTTTCAAAATGATCAGAAAGAAGACTGACTATGGACAGAATAAGATGTGACCATTGATCTTTTAAAGTAAACATTTTTGAAGAAAGATTGAATCAGTTTGGAAGGGAACTTGTTCTGTAATGAAAGTGAGGAAAAAGGATCCCATCTTCTGCACTGTGGGAGAATATACCTTATCACACTTACTTAGATGCTGAAGATAGGTGGCAGCAGGCAGTCAGCGCTTTGATCCCAGTGCGCACATGCAGTCTTCTAATAACCTGGCTTTCCGCGTAGCATGCTTGCAAGTACATATTTCCTCCCTCTGTAGTTACCGTCTGGCTTTTCAGATGGATGTGGTTCTCATTTCAAGTTATAAACTTGCTTTCTGCCTTACATACTACATTTTCTTGGTTTTAAGATCCTTCTTCCACACCCTTCCCCATTTCAATATTTCTGAATTAAGGATTCTTTCTGAAATTGGCATGTCTCTTATAATTAAGGCTAAAAAAATATATTTGCCAATCACTAAGCAGAATTTTAAATAAGGAGGTAGTTATCATTGCCTGAGTTGATGTGAACTTCTCTTTCTGTGGAAGATACCTGCTGTCTGATTTGATGTCACTGTTCATATATTTGCGTTGATTTCTGTGGTTGATTTTTTTACTTAAATGTGGATTTCTAATTGTGTTTTTAAATGACTTTGTGAAGATTACGTTATGGGACATCACTGAAATGAAGTTATTTTTATGTGCTTTAAATTGACTGTGATGCCATGCAGTGAAATTAAAGGCTATAGAAAATGTCAAATCCCTTATACTATACTATAGAAATTCCAAAGTAGAAGACATCCTAGAAGAGGCTGGCAAAACAAAGGCAAGACTGTTCTAAAACTCGCATGGGATTCCTATAGAAAAATACGATCACCTTCTGTTAAAGGTGAACTTCTGATGGAAACTCAAAGATATACAAGAAGTGAGAATAAGCAGATGTGATGAGAGTTACCACCCCAGGAACTTTAGAACTATAACTATGTTTGTTTTTAAATCATTAAAATTATTTTAAAATGAATAGGAGATTTAAAAAATAAAGCACATTGTGAATAAGATGTAAATCGAACTCTTCAGGCATTAGTCATTGAAATTAAAATCTCAACTAATAGGTTAAGCAGCAGATTAGATAGAGCTGCAAGGGGAATTAGTGAATATAAGATGGATCTAAGGAAATTATACAGAGTATAAAAACAAGGTAGAAGCTGAACAAGACTGAAAAAAGAACTTTTTGGATCCATAAAAAATGGGAGGACACGGGGCAAACTGCCACCCCCCTCACCCATCCATCCCCCAGATTGCAGAGTCAAGCAAATACAGGGAGTCTTGGGTTTCAGCTTATTACAGTAGACTCAGTGGTAACCAGTGCCACGGTAGGAAAACCTGAACTGTAATTGATGAATTGCTGGGGGCTCAGTGTGGGCAAGTCTGAGAGTTGAAAACTCCAGGGGGATTCAGTCCAGTGGGGCCCCCACAGTGATTAAAGATTTGCCTTCAGGAGCTGAACCAGGTTCCCCTGGTAGCTATCAGAGGAAAATCCAGAAGCAGGAGTGGAAGGGAAAAGGAACCATTTTGAAATATGCCAGAGGACTCTCTTCTTAA